GCGGCTGTGAGCGGCGAGGCGGGCCGGAGCGCGAGGCCGTGGGGAGCCGAGGGCGGGAGGCCCGTGTGCGGGTCAGCTGGTGGTCAGGCTGGGGCGTGAGGGCTGGCGAGTGGGGGCTGCAAGGGCCGGCCCAGGCGGCCGGTGGGTGCCCTGCGCGGGCCTGGGCGCCTGGTCAGGGAGCCCGCCTGTGCTGTTCCCACGGTGGCCAGCAGGGGGCAACCTGAGACCAAGTGACGGGACTCGGCCTGCAGACCCAGAGCTCACGCCCTGGCTTACCTGGCCCAGGTGAACGGGGAGGGTCATTGCCCTCTGCAGGCGTGCCCATCGGCAGGACGCCATCCTTTGTCCACTGCCTGCCAAAACCTGAGGCTCTTGTGGGCAGGTCTGCCTGGCCACCCCTGGGCAGGGCCACCTGGGGGTTCAGCACCGGCCTGGGTCCACCCAGACCTGTCCAAGCATCTGGGCTGCGGACAGCTCGGTGGTGGCCTGAGGGCAGCCCGAGGAAGCAGTGGCTTCAGACTGGGACTCCACAGCCTGGTCTGAGGGGTGCAGAGCCCTGGCCGCCCCGGAACCGTGTCCTGTCCTATCCTCCAGGAATTCTGACGCCCTTCAGGCCAGGGCCCGGCCCTGCCCACTTCGCTTGGTGAGGGCTGAGCCCGCAGCCCCGGCCTGGTGCTGGCCGTGCCGCCCACGCCCGTGTCTGGGGACCCACTCCGGGGACTGGACAGCGGCCCGCGGGGCCACAGACCTTGCAAGGCGGTGCTCTGGGCGGGCCCCCCGTGGCATCTGTGCCAGGCCAGCGGGGAGTGGCCTGGCCTGAGGGACTCGGAGGGGCATGGGGGGCCCCCGGGGGCCCCCGGGAGAAACCCACCTGTGAAGGAGCCCTGAGCTGAGTGGCGGAATGGAGCTGGCGGGCTGGCTTCTGCCTGAGGGCAGCGGCCCGCGATGGGGCCGAGTCCCGTGCCCGAGGTGCCCGGGGCGGGCATGACCGGGCTGCTGCAGGCTCAGAGGTGGACGGAGCCACCACTGCTGCACCCTGGGCCTGGGCCTGGAGCCCGGCCAAAGCGCGTGGGGTCACTGCCCTCCAGGGCGGGGACCCGCGCCCAGGCCTGGCCCGTTCTTCCCTCGCGTCCAGGCTGTGTAGAGGCTCCAGGCCGGGCAGAGACCCCCAGCCCCTGGGCGAGCCTGAGGAGGTCCTTGGGCCCCCACAGACCTGGGGGCCCATCGCGTCCTGCAGGGCTGGCCCTGTGGTCCCTGGTCATGGGGACGCCGCTGGGCTGGCCTCTCTGCTCCTGGGTCTCCTCCCCACTGGGCTGCGCCCGATGCCAAGGCCCCTCCAGGGAGCTGCTCGCACAGGCCGGGCTCCCTCAGGGGCCCAGAGGCACCGAGACAGTGTGGAGGCCGGGGTGTGACCCGGGACGTGGCTTGTGGCATGGCCAGAGGCTGGGGTGCGACTGGGACGTGCCCCCCGCCTGTCCCCCAGACAGCTGCACCCCAGACTGTGGGGCTGGCCTCTGGGTGGCCTTTATGCTGGGCAGTGGGCTTTGCTGAGCCAGTGAGGTCGGCTGGACCCGGGTGGGCTGTGGTGCCCGCAGGGCTGTCCCGCACAGGGGAGCCGGCCTCTTCCACCCCAACTTTGAATCCAGGCCTGCCCGTCTCAGGAGCGGCCAGAGCAAACATGTTTTCTCCAAGTTCGTCTTTGGATCGGACCCCCCCGAAGCAGATGCCAGCCGGCCCCGGGCGCCTCGGCGCCGTCCTGCAGCGGGCGCGTAAGATAAGGAGGGGCGCCCGGCGCCAACAGCAGACGGCTGTGGGCTGCGCTGAGGGACACGTAAGGCGAGTGGACGGGCGGGCAGCCCCCAGTGAACCTTGGAGGAAAATGAAGGAAGCCCAGGACGCAGTGGGTCAGAGCAGGGGCCTGAGCCCGCTGAGACGGGGCCGCCACGGAGGCCCGGTGCCAGCGCTGTGCACCGGGGGTCGCTCCCGTGGGGTGCCGGCGCCTCCCCCGCGTGCGCCCACGTGCCTGTGCGCCCAGAGGATGGAGTGCTGCCTGCTGGGCACGCTGGCCCTCTGCCTCCCGCCGGCCCTCTCTCGGGTGAGGGGCCGCTCGGCCTGGCTGCACTCCCCGGCGCTCACCCCTGCCGCAGGCCGCTGCAGATGGCGTGGGGGGGCTTCTGGGGGCTCCCTGGTGACCAGCTCTCTCCCCGCGCGGGGGCGAGGCCAGTGCAGGAGGGGGGTAAGTTCCTGCTTCTCCACAGATGCCTGTGCCCCAGGGGCTGGGCCCTCACCTGTGGGCAGCGGGGCCGAGCCTCTCCCCCCGCCCTGCCGTCCGGCCTCCTGGGGTCACGCCGGGGTGACCAAACCCTGGACGGTTCCACCCTTTGCCCAGACCTGCTGGGCTCCCCTCGGGCCCCGGGTCAGTGCCCGCTGCCAGGGCCCCCATGTCTCGCAGACCCCTGCGCAGAGCCGCCGGCCACGCCCTACTGCCCTTCTCCACCTCGGACCTCTGGAGCTACGTGCAGCACTTCCAGGCCCTGGGCGCGCAGGCCCCGCTGGGGGGCCACCCTGGGCTGCAGGCGCCCTTCCGGGAGGAGTGAGGCGGTGCGGGGAGGGTGGGCCGCCCGGGGGAGTGGGCAGGCCCGAGACCGCCTCCTGCGGGGGCCGGTGCCCCCTGCACTCAGCATGTGGGGACCCGGTCTCCCATGCGGCCTCTTCTCACGCTCACGGCCACCAGGATGGCGTGTGGGACCAGGATGTGGGCGGGACACGGAGGCAGAGCTGTGCCCTGGCCTGACCCCCAGGCCCTCTGCGGTCCGCTGGAGCCCGGCCTGGTCGCTGGGCGCCACGGAGGCCCCGAAGCAGAGGGCAGGGCTGGGGCGGGCATGGCTGCAGGGGGGCGCCCGCCTGGCAGGAGAGAGCCGGCTGGGGGGGGGCACACCAGGATGAGGGGGATCAGCCAAGAGGTGGGCAGGGAGAGGGCTTGGGGATGGAGGACACGCGGAACACGGGGGGGCCAGGCACAGGGTCAGGGGACTCCAGAGACTCACTGCCGTCATCGCCAAGGCGGATGCTTGTGACCCTTCCCTTGGGGCCCGGGGCGGGGACACGGGGAGCACGGGACACCGAGAGCACGGGGAGGGCAGGGAAGGCGCCCGCGTCCCCTCCAGCCCCGCCCTCTTGAGGCGGACAGTCTGGCCTCCGGGAGCCTGGGCTAAAGGCTCGGGCCGGTCCTCGCCGCGGGGCCTGAGCTCCCAGGTCCCAGAGCCGAGCCTCGTCCGCCCGGGTTCAGGGTCAGGTCGGGGCGCAGGCTCGGGCACCCGCAGCCGGCCCGTGGGGGAGGGGAGGAGGCGGACCCCGCGTCCAGACCGGCCAGGCGGAGGGGACACAGGTGACTGTCCTCCGGCGTCCAGATCGGCCAGAGCTGGGCCGGGGGCGGGGAGCCGGGCCGAGAGGGGAATGGGGAAACCACAGAGGCGAAGGTCCTCCGGCGCCTAGACCGGCAGGGGAGGCGGGGCAGTAGTGGGGGCGGTGATACCATCGAGTCGCCCGCCCTCCCGCGCCTAGACCTGCCGCGGCGCGCGCCGGAAGAGGGGCCGGGGGCCGGAAGTGGCGTCAGCGGGCCGCGCGCAGCCGGAGATGAAGCCGGCGGTGGACGAGATGTTCCCCGAGGGCGCCGGGCCCTACGTGGACCTGGACG